TCCCCTATATTATCCCCTATATGTCCTTTAAGGAGTTTAGACTTTAGCTCATATAGGGTTTAAGGTTTAGGGTCAAAATCGCGGTAGGCATGATAAGCACCGTTGGGTCACAACAACATCCTATATGTACCTCACCAAAAAAACCTAGCCCTTATCAGTAAAGAATGACGATCTGAATGCTAAACACCATGAACATCCCTAAAACACTGTATTGAGAAGCTACAGATCTCCCACAGATTAGACGATGGGGAAAGGAATGTAGGTATTACTCTATGGAATTCTATGCCAGTTTCCATAGATAAAGGGACCCCAATATGAATCCTTCATATGGGCACCCCCAAAATGGTACCCCTAAGCTTAGGAAACCCTAAGCCCTAACCCTCGCAAAACCCCTCTAGTGGTGAGTCTAGGGATCCACTCCCTCCACTCCCCCTTCAGCACCACTTGAAGATCCTGCTGACAGTACTTAAAGTCAAGCGTTTTTTAAGGGCTTAGGGGTTTAGGTTTTAGGGGTTTAGGCAGGGCTTTAGGGAGTTGCGGGTTTAGGGGTTTCAGTTAGTTTTTTAAGGGCTTAGGGGCTTTGGGCTCAGGGGTTTAGGCATTCCGTAGTCCTACAAGTGGATACCAGAATTCATGGGGCTCGCCTGCAGGCTTTTTAAGATTTCTTCGGGCTCCTGAGGCCTTCTTGGGGTGGGGGGGGCATCTTGGGGGCCCCACGGATGTCCTATGATAATTCATCTTCAACTCGGATCTCCAACCCTAAACTCTAAACCCTAAATCTTAAGCCCTAAGCTACTCTAAACCCTATAAACCCTAAATCTTTAACCCTAAACCCTAAATCTTAAACCCTAAACCCCATATCCAGTTACATGAAGCAATGCTGCCGTCCTTGGGAATGTCTGCTGAGCCTAGCTGCGCTAGCGAGGCCACGCGGAGGTTGCCTCTTTCAGTCTTTCTTTCAACTTGGAGTGTGAGGTTTAGGGTTCAGGAATTTAAGGTGTAGGGTTCAGGGATTGGGGTTTAGGGTTTCAGGTTTAGGGTTTAAGGATTGGGGTTCTGGGTTTAGTGATTCCAGGTTTACCGGGAATCTATGGAGCCCTCAGTTTTGGGGATACATCATGCGCAAAAGCATTGAGGATATACCCGGCAAAATATCAATTGCCTAGCGCCTCAGTCTTTTTTCAATTATCGGACAAGGCATATTCCACGAAAAATGGAGGATCAATTGGAAAGCTAAATGAATCAAATGGAAATTGAAATAATGAAGTGGAAGCTGCGATTCTATAGATCCGTTGTGCTTTCAGCTTTGGACTTAGGAGTCAAGATTTGGGGTCTAAACCCTGAACCCTAAACCCTGTACAGCACAGGGGGTTGAAGGCCTCCACACTTAGAGTACGCTTAAGGCTCAGGGTGCCATGAAGTTCTGGATACCACCCACGTCTTGCTGGTTTCAGGACTCATTTAACTCCACTTGAAGTGAAAAAGTGCAGTACCGCAACACCGACCGTGCGGAGCATCTGACCAGAACGTGACTCCCGCTGGGCGGTGTACTCCTGCCCTAGGCCAGACAAGTACAAAAACCGAAGTGGATACAGCGGCAAAATCCGCGCAAGGAACTGTGGGGACCATAGCTCCTGAATCCTGAAAGCTCAGCTGTAGTCGTTCAAGGCGTGACGGACCTGTATAGCTTGCTTGCAATGCTCCTGAGGGAGTATAGAAGCCAGTGGAGCTCTTACCTTCCAGGAGGTGAACCTACCCTCCCGGAAACTAACATGGAAACCCAAAAAGGGCCCTATAAAGTCTACAGTCCTTTTAAAAGGGGGCTATATTGGTTTCCATGTTAGTTTGGGGGAGTGTAAATTCCACTCTAAACCGTTTACCGAGGTAGCTGCCTCTGCGTGATTGCCGGGCGCTTCCAAACCAGCCCCTGAGAGGTACAGGGTACTACAGGGGTCTTAACTAAGGGCTTTTGCCAGAAACTATATCCTTTAGGATTTCGGGTTTAGGGGTAGAAGTATGATGCTTGGTTCAAAATGCTTTGCATTATGGAGAATCAAACGCAAAACTGAATCCAACATGAAGTGGAAACCGGTTTGATATGAGGTTATTAAACGGATCACACTCTAAACCCTAAAACCCTACAACCCGAAACCCTAAACCCTAGTTTCAACATTATGGCTCTGGATTCCTTGTACAGCTATGGTAATTACTGTGTACCTGAAGGCCTCAAAACGATATTGGTGGATATTCCGGACCCTACGGCCCTACGGTAGGGTTTACTTGAAGGGTCAGGGGTGCTTAGTAAGTATGCCTATAACCCCTATAGTAACCCCAGTTACCCCCATTATTCACCCACTTACTAAATTCGCATGACCCTCCAAGTAGGGATTGGGCTTAGAGGGCTGGAGGGGGGATTGGGTCCAACAGCTGAACAGAAGGAAGCATATGAAACCCAGTACTCTCTGTCTTTGGTTGTTTGTTTAACTGGCTTCTTGTTTCTTATTTTGTTAGATGTATTTGTTTGGTGTTTATGTTTTAGTGTGCTTTTCAATTCTTATGCAGTTTTGTGTTTTTTTACAGAAACCACCGCAAAACACTCAGAAGGAGCACGCCTAGGGTAAACTAAGGAGTACTACTCGACCTATGGGTCGGTCAGGGAGGTTGTGGCAGAGCCTACTGAGAAGACTCTTGTCGGGGCTGAAAGAGATGATGGAGGGGCTTTTAGGGTTTAGGGTTTTAAACAAATCAGAGCTCTGGTTTGGAGGGTACATCTTACTACAATTGTATAGAGGTTTCAAAACGAGAAAGCTTCAAATTCTTGAAGCTGTACAGTACTGCCTTGTACCCGTCACGTACTGCCGCTCTCTGTAAGGTGTAATTAATGCTTCTTTTGCATGCGGAAATGGCCCCCTAGCAGCCTTTGCACCTGAACGCAAGGTCATCGAAGCCCCGTACATTGAACTATAAAAGCAGAAACCCTTGATGCCGAGCCGAGACTCCATGACACCAACCCCCAAAACGAAGGAAAAACTGAACCCACGAGCCCTCAAACCTCCAAACCTGCCGATCATTTTGAGGATGCTGCCTTGTAATATCCTATCGTCTCCAAAAGTTACTAGAATATATAGCTCTACCAACCACGCCATTCCAGCTTCCATGTTCGATTTTTGTTTGGATTTGGTTCCCCATCATCGCTTCCCGCCCCCAAATTACGCTCTACGTGCCCGATGTACCTTGCATGCCCCTGCATCTCCCTATGAATCCCTACAACATGTACAATACATCCTAAAGTACCCGGACTAAAAGTTTCCAGCCTGATCGACTGCAGCTCCTGTTCGCTGCGATCGGCCAGCGGCCCAGTGCCAGCGGTCCACAAACCTCTGCTGCGCATAGGGCTTGGAATTTAGAAGGCTACTTGAAATGAGTGATGAAGGGCTTGCGGACCAGAGGGAGGAAGAGAGGGAGAGAGAGCGAGGGAGGGAGGGAGGGAGAGAGAGAGAGAGAGGAACCCCAAAGCCTAAACCCTCGAACCCATTTTTCTTACCGTAAGGGGTCCCGACAGCCATCCTGACACGTCGGGGGAAGCATGGTATGGTTGAAGACCCTAACCCCCAAAAGCCGACACCAGAAAATCCTAAACCCTAAGCCCGGGACTGGGTTGATGCAAAGGAACTTAGATTAAGTTACCACAGTATGGGCATGTAGCAAATAATAGACTTCCCTCCTTGTAGTAGATGACTTTGTAATTCCTCAACAGCAGCCCAGAGAATTGGCAGCTTCAGTTTGGGGTTTAGAGTTCACCAAGAGTGAACCATCGAATGGATAACAACATGAGCTCTAGTCTAAACTCCGAGTATCCCCCGTAATAACCCTTATCGTAGTCCCCCTATATAATCTTTTTATGTAATCCCCCTTTAAGAGTTCAAACCCTAAATCCTAAACCCTACACCCTAAATCCTAAACCCTAAACCCTAAATCCTAAACCCTATGTAGCCCCCTATATAGGCCCCCCCCTTTGAGGAGTTTAGACTACAGCTCACATGGACACTCTGGCTGCAGGTTGGGGATTTCTCCTTGAGGTTCCCATGACCGGCAAGTCTGAAACCCTTCACCCTGGGGTTCAGGGTTTAGGGTTTAGGGATTAGGGTTTAGGGTTTAGGGTTTGGGTTTGCCTTTGTACCATTAGGGTTTGTACCCTTGGGTTTGGGTCCCTAAACCATGGAATATGGCCCTTCATAGTTGTATTTGGGACCCAAAACCTAGGGTTACAAATATTAAGGGTACAAACCTCAAGTCTTTGATAGACCCCAAACTCCACAACCTAAGCCCGCAACGCTCACAACCCAAACACTCAACCAAAGCCTAAGCCTAACAGGAATATCAGAGTAGTTACTATTATCCCCTGTAGTCACTCTCACAGGGTCGGGGGCCCACCCAAAGTAAAGTACGACTATTACAAGGCGGGTACCTCCCAAGCCTTCAGCCTTCAAACTAGGGCTTGAACCCTGCACCCTGAGCCCTTGGCTGGCATTCCCGTACTACCTCCCCCATGCTCCCTTTCCCTAGGTCCCTCCTTAATTAAGGTTGTTTAAGGATAACTTAATGTAATTAAAGCTAATTGAATTGAGGGAAACTAAGGGGGTCAGTAGGGTAACTCATAAACTCTCAGCCCTCCGACTACGAAATCATCTCAGGCACGCCCTGGGCGACTGTTGAAACGCTCTGCCACTGCAGCTGCTTGGCTGAACAACGCAAACCTATGCTCGTACCTCGGGATGGAAGAATTTCTTAGGATGATCCCTGTATCAACACAGGGCATGCCCCATTTTTCTTGATAATACACCGTTTAAGGTTTGGGGCATTCTAATCCCCATACCCCATATTCTACAGATGTTATGCCCCATTCCCATGAAACATAACGCGAGGTCCTAAAGTAACTCGTTAGGTATCGATACAAATAGAGTCCAGCGAAAACCCGGGAATGAAGACAGGCGTCCACCCTTACGAGGCTTGTGTAGGGGGAACTAGGTGCATTTTGAGTGCGAAGGAAGTGCCTGAACTGCTAGAGTTGCTGCAAGTGCCGCAACAACTGTTCGTGGAACTTCAGAAATATTCAACACATCAATAGCGAAGGGGGCACATACAACGAAGAAAACATGCTTGAAAAAGCCCAGGTACTCCTTCGAGCCTTCGGCATATGTTCGGCCATACTTCTGACGGAAGCCGTCGAACTTCTCTCGGAGAGGATGATGTGATCTGACTTCAGCTCCAGTTGTGACTGAGACAAGCGACAAGACGCAAACGATCTTGTAGGCCATTGCTGCAACTAGATCACTGTTTCCTTTCGATCTCGGAAATGGAAGTGTCCAATAGAGGACACAAAATTGATGCCGTCGAGGCTCACAAGGTTTGAGCCGCTACCAGCATCATGGTCAGCATGCAGGGCCCTGCTTTCTCGGGAATGTTGCAACTGCACCAGACACCCAAAAACATAAACCTGGAATTCCGGGGACCCGTGAATCAAGCACTCAAGCAGAAACATGCATGATGCAAGGCAACTAGGGGCTTGGCCCCAATTGCTGTTCCCATAATGGGGGAAAGCCTAAACCCTAAACCCTAAAACCATAAGGGGCCCATACAAGAATACGGGTCCCACTATGGGACCCCAATTGACATTGGACCCCCACTGTAAGGACCCTGTTAGGATCGGAACCCACTTTCAAAACCCCATTACAACAGCATCCCACTGCAGGAACTCGTATAAAAATTGAACCCCGCTTTGGGGACCCCTATTACAATGATTCTAGGCCATCCCCCAAGTGCGTAAGTGCCCGACACCTGGCTTCTTTGAGCTACTGAGCCTGCAGTAGGTTGATTGAAAGGGTAACCTGGGGGGTAGCATGGCGGCAGGGAGTCCAGAAGGTTCAGGTGAAAGCCTGGGCCCATAGAGCCTGAACGGGTCTAAACGCTATAATTAGCAGCAACAGCCACTGTGCTGCTTGTGATGATGGCATCAAGGCAGCAAAAGTGAAAATTGCAACTCCTGAGTACAAAGCTCATCGCTGCAGTAGACTGCTGATGCAAAAACAACCGCTGTAGTTACACCGGTGAGGGAACGGTTGCATCACCTTCTGCACTCTATACGCTATACGCTAAGCCTGAAAAGGTAGTAGTGGTTTAGGGCTTGAGGCATGGATGCCTATAGTCTCCCGTACTTAATTCCCAAAAGTAGAAGAGTTGTCATGTTCTCTTGCATTCCTGATTCCTTCCTTTCCCACTCTCCCCCATACCGGCGCGAAGGGTTTCCTCTATGCAAGGCAGTGATCCTGGCAAATTGCACTGACTCTGAAGAACTTCACATGGGGCTAGAGGGCCCGCATAGGGATATACGGGGCTTGAAGAAACGGAGTCTGCGGGGTTCCGTATTAGGGATTCTATACGTGTAAGTTGGGTATATAAGTGTCAGAAACTCCCACATTTGCCAGCATACCCAGACTACAGTAGAATCTGGAAACCCTAATCCTTAAACTTAAACCATGAACCTTAAACCCTGGACCGGAAACCCTAAACCTGAAACCCTGAACCCTGAACCTTAAACCCTCCTGAACCTTAAACCCCACTTCTGAACCTGAAACCCGAAACCCAGAAAGAACTATCAAGCTGGATCCCAGCACTAAACCAAACCTTAAAGGGGTTATGTGGGGGATTATATACCTCAAAGGGGTTATGTGGGGGATTATGTATCTTAAAAGGGTTTATGTGAGGATTATATAGGGTTTAGGGTTTGAGCTGTAGGGCATCCTATCACTGTTCCTTGTATCAGCCCGCCTGGTCTGCAAACGTCAGACCAAACTCTGCGGGCAGTCGGCATGGCGCTGGATGCCAAATGTGCTTCAAGCTTAGGATGTAGGTTTGGGGGTTGGGATTTTGGGGTTAGGGATTAGGGTTTGAGGTTGGGCTTAGGGGTTTAGGGTTACACAAGATGCTGGTAATGGCCCTGAGTTAGCAGTCGTCAGGGTATGGACGCATGTTTGTCATAGGGTCCTGTGCCCTGACCCGTTAGCAGCAGGAATGAGACTTGGCACTACACCAGGCCCTTCCACTGCACCGTGAGCGGACCCGCAAATCTAAACTCTAAACCCTAAACCCTAAACCCTAAAACCCGAAACCCTAAAACCCTAAACCCTGAAACCCTAAACCCCAACTCATTGCAACCTTGAGCCTGCGGGGCTGTGTTACTGGGTTGCTGTTAAGGAACTTAAATTAAGTTACCATAATAGGTATATATAGTAAATAATTAGGTTTCCCCAATATGGTAACTTAATTTAAGTTCCTTAACAGCAACCCAGGTTAAGGCAAACTTGAAGCCTCACAGCGAGAGAGCAGCAGGCACATGGCTACAAGCTGCCTACATCCACACCTCCCAGTCACCTTACTTGTTCCCACGCGGTTTAGGGTTTAGGGTTTAGGGTTTAGGGAAAGGAAGCTGGAAACTACTGATACTTGAGGGTTTAGAGGGCTTAAGGGGAAGCGCAGTGTAGGCACGACCATGTGGGATAAGCAGGGATGACTATAGGTCATTGCTGGAAATCGCTGTCAATCATTCTGAAGTAAAAACCATGCGAAACGTAGAGTGAGAATACTGATACTAGTATTCAGAACAAGCTACCATCGAAACACGAAGCGCAACGGCAGTCTGATACCGGTAACTCTGAAATACGCATGGCACAGCAGGACGAGAGAGCAGTAGTCGCCATGACGTAGTGTAGAAGTAGTAGGGTCATGTTGGGATAATGGAAAATAAAATGGAAACTACAGGGATTACAGGGATTATATAGGGGTTATATATAGGGGGGGTGCCATGGCATATAACTAACTACGACTATCGTGTAGTTTTATTAGGAGTAGCCATGCTCCTGAAACGTGTAGTAAGGCACGCCCTGCAGATGGACGGCGTACACTCCCGTTGGGCTCGGAGCAAAACGAACACGGATCTTGGACTGCGAGGTCGCCGGCGCCTGAAAGGCAGCTCCCGCACCAGGAAGCTTCTACTACAGGGCCTAAATAAATACCAAGATTATATAGGGGTTATATAGGGGTTATATTGGGGTAATGGAAAATAAAATGGAAACTACTATATTATAATAGGGTTTGGGGGCCTAAATAATTACCAATATGATTTTGAGGTCCATTTGAGGTTCCATATACTATAATGATACAAGGAATATGGAACCATAATATTGGTCATTATTTAGGCCCCTATATTACGCATAGCAAGCTGATTGACTTCACTGGGTTTGGCAGCATGTCATACTGACGTCCACTAGAGGTTTGATTAGAGTTTTGGAAGGGACAGTTGTCCCAACTCTTGAGATTCCACATGACAAGCTTCAGTGTTGTCACCATGGTTGATGTCTGTGCTGCTGCGGATGCCAAGAGTCCTTTTCACCGTTGCTCTTGGTACTTTGAATACACTGCCACTGTTGTTCTTCGCATTTCTGTTGACTATAGCCCATGACAAGATATGCCACTAATATTGTTACTTTCAGGTTGCTTACTTGTGCTACGAACAAGCCTCATATGTCCCTATGTGTCCCAAAACATCCCTGCTTTGTGAAAGCCCCCTACCAGTTGAATCCCATTCAACACAGTTGAACCCATTATTGCTATTATTACTCTTATGACTATTATTACTGTTATTACTATACTTCAGCCACTCCTCCGTGGCGGTGGCTCGCAGTTGCACCGTGCTACCTGGCAAGAGTCTTGCTGGGGCTTGGTAGGGAATATGGGTATATTTTTGTATAGGGATTATATTCCCGTATTCCCTACTAACAACCAGTAAGGAGTTTGCAGAGAGGTTTCCCAGCTAAGGTAAAGTTGTTGGATGGTCTCCCAGTCTAGGCAGTCACCAGCGTTCCTAGGGGACGATATACATTTGCCACAACCGCTAATCTAAGCCCTGACCGCATGCTATTCCCTAGGAGTTCAGGTGCTGGGAGATCATAAATGTTGCAAGATTTCCTCCGCCCACCGCCCTAAACGACTAAACCCCACACCCTAAGCCTTAAACCTCAAAATCCTAACCCGAAAATCCAAGGCCTGAGTCCTAAACCCCCCACTCTAAACCCAAACATCAAACACCACAAATCCTCATAAGCCGATGTATCCCCCCATATATCTCCAGAAATTGACATCCGCCCTAGATCTCAAGCACCCTACACCCTATGCCCCAAATCCTAAACCCCAACTAAACCCTAAGTCCTAAATCCTAAACCCCAAATCCTTATAGTCCCCCTTAAGTAGATAGAATATGGCTTTGGGTATGTCATAATAAGGTCTCCATATACCCCATGTTCAATCTACTTAAGGGGGACTCTAACCCTAAACCCTAAACCCCTACACCCTAAACCCTAAACCCTAAACCCTACACCCCTAAAGCCTACACTCTACCTTGGTAAAACTCGCCTTGAAGCGACCCCCTCGGACATCTCAGGCCCAGATGTTTCGTAGCCGGCCTCGCAGAAAGTTATGGTTTAGGGTTTCCCAGACCCCTGGGAGGATCTAGAAAGTAGAACCCCCTTAAGGGTTCCTAGGAATTACCCTATAGTAGTATAGGGTACCAAATTGGGGGTTCTACTTTCTAGATCCTCCCAGGGGTCTGGGTAGGGCCTACGTCTATAATACTACGAGTATTCTGACTATGCTTTCAGTTTGGGGTCTAGGCTTGAGGGTTTACGGCTCAGGGTTTGGAGTAGTGGATAAAGACCAATGCCGAAGGAAATGGAAAGAAAGTTGACAATGAAATGGATATTGGATTTGCAGAGGGAGGTTAAGGAGATCATAGCTACTAAGGGCGTTACATGTTCATGAATCAGGGAAGTTTCCAACCTCTGTAACACTACTCAGTGTTTAGGGCATACGGCTCCTTGTAATGATACCAACGTGGAGCGGTTCTAAGAACCACCGTAATGTACAGGAAAATGGGAACGACTATAGAATCTAGGGTTGCGGATTCAGGGATTAGGTTTAGGCTTTAGGGTTCAAGATTACGATGCACCCTAAACCAGCCTAAACCCTACAACCTCGATCCTAAACCCTCAACCCTAGACCCTGAACCCTAAATCTTTAATCCCAAACCCTAAACTTATTTAAACCCTAAATCCTAAACCCTTAATCCTTATCCTAAAAATCCACAGACTTGAAGGGAGAAAGCTTCGGTCCTAGAGGCGAAAACTCCGAGGCCTGTACCCTCAACCCCATACCATCAACTTGCTGGGTCATTTGTTGTGGGTTAGAAGGCAAGACGGGACTAATG